TTTGCAGCTTCACAATAAAACTTCATATTTCCAGACAGTATTTTTATATCATGAACTGGAGCCTTTTTTCCCCTCTCTTTATTTGTGTTTGTGCACTTATGTGAAAGAATCAATGAAAGAATGAACAGGAAAAGATACTATTTCATAATTTCTGTTTTGTGGTGGGGAAGCTGCCTTGGGTATCGAAGATAAGAGTCTTAAAAAAAAATAAGTTTTAGTTTTTACTCACAAACAAGTTTTGATGAGAGTTAGGGTAGGCTGAAAATCCTTGGTTCACAGAGCTTAAAATGAACTTAATACAGATGTCTAAGAGGAAAAAACCTGCCATAGCCTACAAAACGTGACTCAACTATGGTGTCTTGGCCTCAGGATAGCCAAATCACTTCCTAGGCAGAGGTCCAGAGAAGCTAAGTCTGGCAAGTGAATCCTAACATACATTACAGGGAGCCTAAACAAAAAGCATGGTTAAAAAATAAACAAACATCTCAGATAAACAATTTATTCAGAAAAAATCCAGGATGTAAACTTTACGTCTTACCATTTACATGGTAATGTAAATCCAAATTTTGCATAAATACAGAGCATCAGTCTCTTTAAAGCAATTGGGTTGCTGAAGTGAATTCACCCCTACCAAAAAAAAAGGGTTCACAGTCTGACCCAGGGTACTTAGTTTCTTTGGGATAGGAGTCTATGTTTTTATTCACACTGAGAGGGAAAGTAACATAACTTGACAAACCTAATTCTAGTTACTGAAATAGAAGATTATTCCTCTTAGCAAGATGATGTAGTGTTTTGTTGCCATCAGGCATTCATCCGTGAGCAAAATGGAAATACGTGTGTGAGTAGGCTGCGCGTAGACATCCTCTCTAGATGTCCTCTCCCAGATCCAGCTGTGCCAATGAAAGAGGTTACTAACTCCCACAACTCATCCTCCTCCTCCTGCTGCAGACTGTCAGTGCACAGATCTGCAGGAGGAGTTGTTCATGCTCCTTAACTTGTTTTGGCTGTAAAGCAGCCTGACTAACTCAGCCCGATGTCTCTAAGCTGCCTCAGCTGGCCTTGCTTGTCTTGGTCTGATCTAGGGAGCACTGGTACGAGCTGATCCATCAGCACCTTGGTGAGATGGTGATGGCTGAACAAGGAAACACTGGCAAGTAAGTGCAAGCAGCGACCTGTTCCACAGAGGTGGTTGGACAGGGAGGATGGCTATCCTCCCGCTGGCCTCTTGCACACAAAGAGCAGCACAACAGAAGGCTGGCAATGGCAGGAATTGATTCCTTCAGATTAATGGTCTTATAAACCATGGAGATAGAAGTTCTATTACAGCAAAATTTAACGATAATGATGTGATCACCAGTCAAGAGCAAGTGCACTGAAATAGCACATAGTGGTACTAATGAAATTCTTCAAAGCCTTATTAGCTGAAAAGATGAAAATTATTTTCATTCAGGAGGATAGGTGTCTTTAAATTATAATACAATGTTTTTTGTATTTAATTTGCACAGCATTTTCATGGGCAAAAACCTTAATTTTAAAATATATAGGTATGTATATAAAAATTTATCTAAAATAAATGTAAATGTGCACTGCAGAGTACAAAGTTTTAAAGAAAGCATGTCCTTCAGGCTTAGATGATTATATTGTTGCTGAGTTTTTGCTATACTCCAGTGGCGTTTTGCTGGAATGAGATTCACCCCTGTGCAGAGGGCAAGCATAAAACCTAAGTACCATGTAAGTCCTACTTAAGTCTTAAGGATCTTGTTCTAACTCCATTGAAATAAATAGCAATATTTTTATTGTTTTTCAGTGGGAGCTGTTTCAAGGTCAACAAATGGGATTAGTCCTATAAATGCCTATTGCTGGCCCAACTGGAATCATACTACAAGGATCTGGATGTAAAATGCTTAGGAATGAATGTGAAAAAATCCCTTGGTAGTAAAAGACTTGGTAATTCTGGACAATTTGCTTAAGGTAAATACTAGAACAAAAACATTGATCTGTTTCAAAGATTCGAGGATGTTAGGTAGATTTATTCTAATCAGGAAGCTATCTTACCCAAATATGACTCGAGGAGTTATGTGCATACTTCTGCCATATTCTGTGTAATACAATGCACGATACTGAAAAATACAGTAAAACCTATTTAAATCATTATCATTTCTTCAGTAGTAGGGTAATTTTGGATACCTCAGAGTCCTAAAATGTGATGTTCTCTGCTCTGGCAGCATTAATAAGGTTTCTCTGTGGTTTTCTGCCGTATCATCTACCCTTGCTAGGTAACGTGATGGCATCAATCTATGCATCTAAACAGTACCTGCACAGAAACTTATTTATATTTTATAAATTAAAAATGAAGTGCTTCACAGCCCATTTCCCATTACAGATGAGAGAGCTTTAGGTAAGACCATGTTCACAACACAAAGCAATGGAGAAGTCTGTGCTCAGACTTTGTGCATCTTACAGGGACTTCTGGCCACTGCAGTGTATTTCACTTTCAAGCCTGTATAGGGAAATAAATATGTATTGGACTCCGACTACAATAACCTTGCACCCAACTGCTAGCTTTGCAAGTGTAAAAGTACTGTGTGCGTGCTCAGTAAGTGATTTTCAAAGGTTCTGACGTTCCATAAATGAAATCCAGATTCCTCAGAACTCAGCAGAGGCGGAAGGCTAGGCCCGTGGCACGTTTCCTTTTAACCTTGCCCATTTCAGCAGCAGGCCAACTCAAAGAAAGCACACAATAGTAGATTTTATTATAATAGAAAAAAAAATCCAGGTTTTCCCTTTTTTAACTATTCCATATGAAAAGCAGATTATTTGCCCTCTTGATAAACTTAAAATATCAGTAACTTCAGAGACCTTCTATTACCTGAAGGGAGCCTACAAGAAAAATGGAAAGGGGCTTTTTAAAAGCCCATGTAGTGACAGGACAAGGGGGAAGGGGGAATGGCTTCAAACTGAAAGAGAGTAGGTTTAGATTAGGAAGATGTTAGGAAGATATTAGGAAGAAATTCTTTACTGTGGGGGTGGTGAGGCACTGGAATTGAGAAGCTGTGGATGCTCCATCCCTGGAAGTGTTCAAGGCCAGGTTGGACGGAGTTCTAAGCAACCTGGTCTGGTGAAAGATGTCCCTGTCCATGACAGGGGGAGTGGAACTAGATGGTCTTTAAGGTCCCTTTCACCCAGGCCATTCTATGATTCTATGAAAAATTTCATCCCTACATGTCAAATGGAGGGTATTAGCCCGATAACCTTGCATTTGATGAACTCAGTGAAGAAAGATGCCAACTCCTCTAGTGGAACACGAACTATTATTTTGCAGCTTCTGCAGAAGTGAGCAATGGGCCTGCAAAATAGCATGGAGATAAGTCTATTGTCATAAATACAGCAAGCAGTGGCACAAATCAGAGAAGACCACAGCTTTTTTTTTTCCCCGGAGCCTTCTTGTAATGGAAAATCTACATACTAGAATACAGATTCATTAAAGATCCAGAGCAGCAACTAACATATTTCAATGTAGTATATGGGGGACCAGTGACTGAGGCCATCATGAAAATCTCCTGCTCCAGTGTAAAATCATTCTTTGTCCTTTCTGCAAATGCTGAATATACAATCCTGACTCTTTCCTGATCTACCAAAGTAGTAGAGGGAAGAAATAATGGGAAGAAGTAGTTATATGCTGCTTAAATCTGATTGAAGAGACTAAGCCTTTCTGCTGCAAATTGATAATTCCCAGTAACATTTAAAATACTGTATAAAATAATGAGGGTAACATGGAGTTACCCTGCAGAAATCTTTCAAGATAATTCAAACTGAAACAGCTAAAATTCAAAGCTAATATTGACCACCTTTAACGGTGAATACACAAGATAATTGGCTTCGGATTTAAGTGATGATACAACAAAAGTTGTTGTCTCATTTTCTCCATCGATGAAATGCAAATAGTGGTATCTGCCCCTTTTCAGGAATTTTTGAAAGATCCACAAATAAGGAGCACTACTCCAAGAACTATCACCCTTATCAACAGAGGAAATTAATTTGAAATTGCCCTCAAGGATCAATGAAAAGGGAATTCAAAGGAATCAGATCATATGTAGAGGTATTAAGCTTTAAAACCAGCACAACATGAATACAGATGATAATCTAATATAAGTATCAGCACCATTCAATATAAAAATTCACCTGTCATTGGCAACCCATGCAAATAGCCCAACCATAAGCAGTGCAGACAGACTGGCTTGAGTGACATAAAACCATGTGCCAAGAATAAACAAACAAACTAGGGAGCAGTATGGTAGGGTCCTCACACTGCCATGGGCCTCAGGTAGGGATAGCAACCCTACTACCATCACCCCTAATTTTGCATCCACACATTACACAGAATCACAGAATCGGTGTTTGGAAGTGGGTCATCTGCTCCAACCTCCCTGCACATAGCACAGAATTACACCCAGACAGTTCTTGAATATCTTCAGTGAGAAAGACTCCACAGCCTCTCAGGGCAGCCTGTTCCAGTGCTCGGTCACCCATACAGTAAAGAAGTTCTTCCCCATATTCAGGTAGAGCTTCCTGTGCAACAGTTTCCGCCCGCTGCCTCATGTCCCATTGCTTGGCATCACGGAGAAGAGCCTGGCTCCGTCTTCTTGGCAACCCCTTCCATGTAGCAGTGCTGGTGGCCTGAGAACACCTCAGCCTGGGCACAGCTGGGGTACGACCCTGCCCAGGCTTTCCTGGCTCCCGCTGGTGGTCACCTGCAACCTCGTGTAGGGGTTGGGTTATTATTATTATTATTATTATTATTATTATTATTATTTTCAACTCGATGGAGCTCTCCGTTGAGGCCGGGCACCCCACAGCCTCCCTCTCCGCCTGAGGTGCTCCCCCCGGCCCCGGCGGCCCCGCGGCCTCCGTGCCGGCGGGGGCAGGCGGGGCAGGGGCCGGCGCAGCGACGGCGGCCGCAGGAAGGGGAGGGCGGCCGCCGCCATCATGCGGGCGCCGCGGGGGCTGTCGCGGCTGCTGCTGGCGGCGCGGGGGTGGGGGCGCCTGGGCGCCATGGCCCGCTACAGCACGGAGCAGCGAGGCCGGCCCAACTCGCCCGATTACCGCCTCTACTTTAGTAAGTAGCAGCCCCCGGGCTCCGTAAACTCCTTCCTTCCTCGTCCCGCGGGGCGCACGGAGGGGGAGAGGCGGCGGCGGGTTCCCGCTCCCGCGGAGGCTCGTCGGGCTCGGTGAAGTGTCGCCCCTGAGCCTCCCCTCTTGCTGCAGGGAGGGAGCAGTGTTTTCTAGAGTGTGGGGGCGGATCCTTTGGAGATCCCGGCTTTTGGAGGGGATGCTGGGCCTGCTCAGCCCCGGCTCTGCCGTGCCTTTCCCCAGCCCCGGAGGACGAAGGGCGCCGGGGGTGAAGCGCCGCCGTGTTGTGGGAGCCTGGGCGCGGGGGGCTGTGGTACCCCGGGGACAGCCGTGGGAGCCTCTGCGGTGTGACAGCGCAGCCTGTCCCTTGTGACCGGGGCACCCCCCCCTCCCTCCATACACGTCACTGAGACGGGAGGCTGGCATCCAAAACGTGGGGCTCCGGCCTCGAGGGGGGTTCCAGCCAGTGGCACGGCGAAGACACGGGCAGTGCTGCAGGAGGCTTCTCAAGGCCCGCTGAGAGCTGAGGGTGTGCCGTGTTCAGTATTACCCATTTTCGTAACGATGTTGTCTGCTTGTGTGCCAGTTCTCTGGCAGTGGTTTTTGAAACAGTGTTGTCTGTCTGAGTGCCAAATCTCTAGCAGTGGTTTTGTACGTTTTTGGTCCATTGACCTATAAGCAGTCAATTCTGACGTCCGCTGGTGTGGGAGAAGCGGAGGCGTCGCGTACCCGGTTGGCAGCGTCCTGCCAGAGCTCCCTTGTGCTCAGTCCCTGGGGCTGCCAGCCCACGAGCTCCTCTAGGAAAGTCGCTTTCTTTAGTGGGAATAAACAGCCTAGCGCTAAACTTTGTTTTGTTTGGGGGAAGCATCTGGGAGGCTTCCAGGAGTTGCAAATCAACTCCATTCACTTCTCTTTGCTGAGGTGGTCAAAGTTAAGTCCAAAGCTGAGTGACGTTCCTTGTCTGCTTTTCCCTTTACTGTGAATAGAGGTGCTAGCAGAGGAGAAATTCCTTGAGGTTTGAGTTAGTGTTTGCACTGTTTTGACGTGGTACTTGGGCTTTTAGTATGTTGAAAAAAATTCAGTGGAGTAGTTGGAAAAACTTAAGCATCCTCTCCAATGAATTTTGTTTCTTTCTCGAGTGGGAGCAAGGCTGAAGTGCACATTGGGCCCCCTTTAAGTTAATGTCAGTTTCTGTGGTATTTCATGTCTAGGGCCTGAGCAACTGTCCTGTCCCTCACTCTTTTAATCAAACTTTGGCCTGCTATGTTGGAGGATTTTCTCTTTGTGGTCCTGAAACCCGGTTTATTAGAAATACAGTGAAATCACACTGTTCTAGAGACATTGCTAGAAACCCAGATTAATTCATTTATTGCTGATGGACATGAAGTTCCTTTGTTTTTTTTTTCTCTGTTAATGGTTGTGTATGGCCAGTGAGAAGAAAAGAGAATGAAAGGATCTTTTCGTCTTTACATAGCTTGTGTTGCCAGGTAGTCAGAAGAGGAGCACGGTGTTGAATACTAAAGCAATAAAATTGATTCTAATGAATCCTTATCAAAACAATCAAATTCCTTGTCCTGCATGTAGGTTAATTTTTAGTACTTGAAATTAAACTTCGGAAGAAGTTTAACTGATGCATAATCGTAGCATATATACATTTCTGTATTGCATGATATTTAGCAACACCAACATCATATGGCACATCTTTAGGTTTGCAATGCTGCTTCTTTGTTCTCTCTTTCAGAGAATGCAGATGGTAAATATATTTCCCCATTTCATGACATTCCACTGTTTGCTGCATCTAAAGAGGTATGTACTTATGCCTTGAAACACAATTAATTTCAAGATTTTTGGATAGTCAATGGAGGGATGTATTGTACCAGAAAGGACCAGTCTAACCCAGGCTGATTCCTTATGTAATAAAGGCACAATAACTCCACCAAATTTTCTCTACTGAGTTCAGTAACTTACAATGAAACATAATGACTGCTGTGTAGGCAAGCTTAGGTGTCTCTCTAAGTCCTCAAGTGACTGAGGGCAGGAGGAACCCTCACTGTACCTTGTGTTTATTCTCTGTGTTTAGGTTTGTGTTTATGTGTGCTTGAATTAATTTTCTGTTGCTACTCTTTTTAAATTGGTGGTTTCCTACATCTGCAATTAAAAGCGTACATTTCTTTGTAGTATATGTACAGCACGTGCTTGCGCAACTTACAGTGTACGTCTTTAATTCCCAGAAGGAGCGTTGTAATTGTAAGGCAACACTAATGCCCAAGAGAGAAGTGGTAATCACACCTTTGGAGAATGGCAGTGCGTGAGGTGCAGCTGAGCACTTTCACGTCTTGTTAGCCACCCTCCCTGGGGCTTCGTTATAGCAATAATGAAACGCCTGTTTTGTCTGTCACTGGTGGGAGAACTGCCAGTCTTCAGTTTAGGTTTAGGTTTGCTTATCATGGTGTGCTTGTTACACAAACAGGTTGGGAGGGTTTTAGCTGTTTTCTTGATCTGTTGCCGAGTCTCTATGGATGATATGAATGGTGTGAAAGGTCAGTAGTTTTAACGTGTTCAGATGGAGACTTCTGAACTGATGAGCCAACCTTGTGAATTATTAAAACCGAGAGATTTAAAATATGAATGAAACCTTTTTTGATCAGGAGACCCAAGTGCTAGTCAATGGAAGAGGTAAGTCATTCAGAGTGTCATTATAAGATGCCCTGTTCATTGGGTGCTAGTGCTGGAATATTAATGGGCATTTTCATCACATGTTCTCTGTTGGCCTTGCTGTTCATGTATGTAGAGTTTAGAGTTTGTAGGAGCGGGCTATAGTCTGTAATTTTTCAGTAGATTAAATTAGAGTACAGCAGTGTCTGATCAATGTGGAGAGACTTTCATTTTGGTATGTGAGCAGGAAAATAGCATTCCATCTGACAGAGAGCCTGGGCAGGGCAGGGTGGGGGGTGGCAAGAAGGGGAGTCATTGTGAAGCTCTCCCTTAGTTTTGCCTTCTTTGTCAGAGGAGGACTTAAAGAGTTGTATGTTACAGGCTTTCCACCTCGTGGTCTAAGCTTTGTGGACTTTATGATGGATAACTCCAGCCTTATTTTCCATACTTGTTTTGTTTATTTGGGATTTTTTTTTTTCTTCTTTGACTGTACAGAAGGATGACTGTGTTTTTAATCAGTTGAGGACAGGCCTAAATTGCTGCTTAAATTTCTTAGTAGTTGGGAGACGGTTGATGTATCCATGTACATTTTTTATCTTCTTCTGTTAACATCTCGAAGGTAAAAATGTCACAGTGAAACAGAACTGAGTACTTACTTTTAAAAGTTATAGTTTAGGCCTTTATGCTCAAAAAGGAGTGTTTCAATTGCATTGCAAACTACTGTTGTCTATAGTTATGTGAATACGGTATTCCTCTCTGATGTTCTTGATACACTTTTTTGCTTGATTCCCTATAGGATAAAGAAATTCCTGCAAAGAGGGCAAAGACTACTGGATCTGAGGTACTGCTACGTTTTGGGTTGGGTTTTTTTTTTAACTGTGTCGTCTATTTACTTTCCAACATCAGTTCACTATTCTGCAAAGTGAACTTGCTCTCAGTGAATAAAGTTGACATGTCATCAAATGCAAGTCTTTTAGGAGGAAAAGGCTTAAAGGGATTTAATATTCTCCTCTTTGAATGGACTGGAAACGTCAGAATTCTTTTATTCGTCAAGATGTTCTCAAAGGCAAACACTTATACCACTGTTTCAAAGGTTTGTTGTGACTAGTACAGTGTAGATGTGTAGATCTTTTTTACTATTGCATTCAGAAACATTTGCAGTTAAACCTCCATTAATGAAATATTCATTATGCTCTGTGGATAATCTTTGTTATATATACAGAACTTCAAAAGTCCTAAGTATCTTAGGGCAGAAATTATACTAAGTATCTGCCTCTCAAAATTGAGGATATGTTGTTTTCTATACTCATCTGGGAAGCCCAAAGGGAGAAAAATCACATCTGCTAATAGTTCAGCATTATCCAGCACTGAATTTAAGCCTAACAGAAGCCCAAAAAACATGGAAGATCTGCTCAAGCTTTTTCTGTGAAACAAGATTTGTTTATGCAAGTGTCTTTTCCAAAATGTAACACTTTTTGCTCTGCTTTGGCTGACACGGGCTCATCTAAAAGTTAGTAGAAGAATGTGAAAGAAAAAAAAATGAACCAAACTATGTTTTAAGGCCATGATGTATGTATGTGGGTAGGTGTGTGTCCCAAGCTTTATCTCCTCATATCTGTTCGACCAGTCATATTGCAAAACTGTAACTACCCATCCGATGTGAAAGAACTGCTCTAACTGTCTGGGTTCTCATAGTTTTGCAACTAGTGTGTGGTACACTGGTTCTTCTGCTGTGCAACAGCCCCCACACAATCCTGCCCTGTGTATTTCCTCTCCCTTTACTGTGTCATTCATTCAAGCTACAATACCTAAGTAATGCATTTTAGATTTCCTGTAGCTTGATGCCCATTTAAGTACAGTCTAGTAGGTGTAGAATCATGTCTGAAAGAGGAGTTATGCAGGACAAAGAGTATGTGCCAGTTGACTTTTTTGAAAAATCATTGTCTTGCAACGTCAGTTTTTATTTACCACTCTTGCTGCAAGTCAAGTATTCTGTTTCTTACCTGCTTATAAATACTGTGACAATACCTGCCAGGTGCAAATATGTTTTATGCAGCATCTAAAAATGTTCAAAACTGCATTTGTCTGTGCAGTGAGAAGCATGTTAGCTTGTTGAAAACCATGTTTCCTGTAGTCTGGGGAGAGGTGGCTGGAAAATGCCAGTGAGGATGAGCAGCTCTTGTTTTCTGGGGCAGTGTAGCATCCAGAGCTGCTTCACATAATTCTTCCTGTTAGAGAGTTCTGGACTGTGATTTAATAGAGCTACAGAAAATGAGCAAAGGCAAATGTACATTTCAATCTTAGTGGGTTTCTGATGCAAGTAAGCAAATGCACAGACTACAGGCTTCCCAAACGTTCTTGGTCTTTACTTAGGTGGTGAGATGCAAGAACACAAATCGTTTAGAAAACCCTTTTTCATCATGATCTTTGAGAGTTGAGGAGGAGAGAGAAAACAGAGGAATCTTTGTGTTCAGGAAAGCAGTTTCTTCTACACTGGGCTCTTCAGCAGCTCTTTTTGCCTTGGCCTGGTGAGAAATGCATCCTTGTGCGTGTGTATGCAGGGAAAGTGTAGCTTAATCAGGGCATAACAGGAAAATCAGGAATTGATTGTCATGTACTGATTTCAGAAGACCTTTGAAGCACTGTACTCCTTCCTCTTGTCTAGGGATGCAAAGGTTGCTATTGATGCCTGGTGTTCAGTTGATCCTTGCACTGAATTTGACCAGAATTCAAAGATGATACTTGTTCTTAACCTGGAAACACACTGACATCTTTAAAATTTGTGCTTTTAGAGTGACAGTTATTTGTTACTCTGGACAAGGGCAAACCCTCTTAAGAGTGTGTGTTAAATTACGCTGAGCTGCTGTTCATCAGATGGCATGTGCAAACTGAAGATAATTCTACAAGAGTCTCTTCAGTCTATCTAATCTACTTTAAATTGACCTAGGTGTTCCTGATGCCAGAAAAGAAAGTCTCAAAATAGACGAGTTTTAGCTTTCAGCAGTCTTGGGGTAGGGGAATGCACATCCTACAACTCACTGTTTTGCAGTGTGTTTGTAGTTCTAAGGGAAACGTGCTGTTTCTGTAGGAACTGTTTTCAATAATGCAACCATTTCACGTAACATTTTAGATCTTCCCAAATCTCAGTTAAATTTAGCTTTGCAGACACTGCTGATAACTGACTTTTTGCTTTCACAGATGATTTTTGACCATTTGAAGACTAGAGAGAAGTTACTTTGAGGGAGAAACTATGCTGAAAGAAATCATATTCAGCTCCGGTCTCAAAATTATTAGCGGTTTGCAGTCTGAACTCCTGCGTTGCCTTAAGCATTGCAAGCACTTGGAATCCATTCCTGCCCAAGTAAATCTCTGTGAAAGGTTTCAAAAGTTTCACATCTGTGTCTGGAAGAGCGGATGTTTCCACTGTGGTTACAGTCAAAACCGTCAGAGCCTGATTGTTGAATATGGGCTTCCATGTCTGGCAGGAAGAAGGTTTGAAGAGGTCATAGTTTTCTTTTCAAGACTAATGTGACATGTTGCTTTCCTGCTGTAGTGAAAGCGTTTCTAATCTGCTTGTCATTGTATGTCTTTGGTAAAGTATTCACATGTCACGTCATTCAGAGGACCCAGGTGTTCTTGAATACAAAGTTTTATTTCAGATGTAGGTCCTGGTAAGGAATTTGTCCAGGCATGTAGAGATTATAGTTCTCTAACTTGCAGACACTCACAAGAGCATCTGAAAAAAAGTAGAAAGAAAGAAACAAGACAGCTTTTGTTTTGTTGCATCCTGTGGGTTGCACAGTGCTGGAATGCCCTTGTGAACTTCAGCTGAGTTGCTTCTGTGAGGCAGAAATTTCTAATAAATTAACTAGTCAGGTGAGATATAAAGGGTTATCAGAGTGGTCATGCTGTCTGAATAGGTGATCTGATAGAGGACTTTATGCTTCAAACAGTGTTCAAAACTGTTGTCAGAGTTGTCTTATGATAAAGTCAGTATGTTTCTTAAGAAAGGAAAAGCTGTCATCATTTTCTGTGCAGAACAGGTGCATACTTTGTACTGACTTTGTATTCTGCCTTAACTACAGCCTCTGTTACAGTTCTTGCTGATGTTAGACCTTTTTTTAATATATGTAACTTGGGCTATAATGCGT